ACATCACCACACCTGGATGGTGGAGCCTACTATACATCTAGGCTATAGGGTACAGCCTATTGCTCCTTGGCTACAAACCTGTACAGCATGTTACTGAATACTGTAGACAAGTGTAACACAATGGTGTCTAAACACATTTCAACACAGAAAAGGTACAGTAAAAATACAGTGTTACAACCTTATGGGACCTCATGTGGACTCATCACTGACTGAAACATTGTTATGCGGTGTGGACTGTATTTGGCTAAACTAGTAAGGTATGCTAATCATTCCTTATATTTCCTCTTTGTTTCAACTAGCACTAAGTTTCAACTAGCACTATTACTTCTGTTTATCCTTTTGTATTTTGTAGGCTGTCTTTTAGTCAGTCACCTTTAATCCTCTCTGGAAAATGTGGAGCATGTATGAACAAATGAAGCAAGCAGGCAAGCTCTGGGTAGACAGGGACTACTTGTTCAGCCACATATCCCCAGTACCTTCTACAGTGAAGGACAGAGTGATACCAAAAATACTTAACAACCAGAAAAATACAGACAAAGATACTAATCAGATAGAATTGTGCGGCTGAGCATGGTGGTTCATGCCTGTAATCCCAGAGCTTTGGAAGGCTGAGGTAGAAGGATTGCTTGAGCCAAGAGTTTGAGACCAGCCTGGGCAATATATCAAGACTTTGTCTCTTAAAAAAAAAAAAAATTAGCTGGGCATCATGAGGTGATGCCTGTAGTTCAGGAGTTCCAGGTTACAGTGCATTATGATCGTACCACTGCACTCCTGCATGGGTGACAGAGTGAGAGCCTCTCTCTGAAGGAAAAAAATTGTAGAGGGAGAAGGGTGTCTGAAGGGTCCCAGAAAAGGGTCCTTCTGGAAAAGGAATGTTACTCAGGGGTTACAGAGCAGCAGCTGTTTACCAACCAGCAGGGAAGCATTTAAATATTTTTACAAACTCAATACAAATTTGAGTAAGTAAATATTTCTGGTGGCCCTTAAAGTTTTCACTGTGACACACTGTGCTGTCTGGGTAAACTCTCTAGAGAAAGCATGGCCAGCTCTGTCTCCTCAAGCAGAGGCACGCAGAAGGCAGGCAAGGCGACCCCCCTCTTGCCATCGCAGGCAGCAGGTTTGGACCACAAACACAAGCTATGCCAGAAAACAGTGGGTGACTCAGTCCATACATGAGCAAGAGAAGAGATGGAACAAGATGCCCTCTAAACTTCCTCTAGTGAGAGGCAAAGACACACAAGAAATATGGGTAAACCTCACAAGAGAAAATAGAAACCAAGTCAACCTCAACAGAAAAATGCTGATTAACTAGTGAGATAGTAATCCACGCATGAGAAAGGGACATTTCAGCAAGTCTTTGAGTCAACGAAAAGCTATGGAGCATGCGCAAACAGATACATGCTAAGTCAGAGGTTTTATAAGATCCTGGTGAAAAAGGACAAAAAGTATCCCTGTGATAATTACACAGGGGAAAGCCAATTCTCTGATGAGTGGTTCAACATTTTTTTTTTTTTTTTGAGACAGAGCTCTCACTCTGTTGCCCACGCTGGAGTGAAGTGGCATGATCTTGGCTCACTGCAACCTGCAACCTCCGCCTCCCAGGTTCAAACGACTCTCCTGCCTCAGCTTCCCGTGTAGCTGGGATTACAGGTGTGTGCCGCCACGTCCAGCTAGTTTTTGTATTTTAGTAGAGACGGGATTTCACCGTGTTGCCCAGACTGGTCTCAAACTCCTGAGCTCAGGCAATCCGCCCACCTCGGCCTCCCAAAGTGCTGTAATAGGCGTGAGCCACCGCGCCCAGGTGACACACCACTTTTTAAAAATCACCAAGTGTGGCATCCATTGATGGCCTCCAGTACCTTTCTCCTTTTCCTCCTTTTAATTATAGCAACCCCCAAGTTTCAGCAGGGCACACAACTGCCTAGCTAGAGACTACATTCCCGAGCCTCCCTTGCAGAGAAGTGTGTCATGTAACTAAGCTTGGGCCAATGGGATAAGGACAGAAGTGATCCTAGAGCATCTCCTTAAAGGTCCTTGCCAGGTATTCCCGCTCCACCTTCCCTTCCCTCTGGTTGGCAAATGGTGATGCCTGGAGCAACCTTGTAAGTCATGTGTTACGTGTCATATGTAAGTCATGTGTCATATGCAGAGCTGCCCATCAGCATAGGATAGCTAATATTAGACTGAAAACAGAAAAATAAAATCTTATTAAGCCACTTAATTTTTTTGTGGAGGGCAGAGAAAGATGGTGGTGTTATACTAAAATAGCACCTAACTAACCACTTTTCACACCTTCTCCTCTTACCTACCTTCATTTTATACTCAATACATTTGCATGTAACTCTTCCAATCTCTGCTTTTGAATCTGCCATTACATTACTGAGCTTCCACTATTCCTTACTTAACTGAACTTCTAAATCACATAGCCAGCCTCCTTTGAAGGCGTGGACTCTGTTGATGGAATACCGATAGTGCAGTGTGGGAGAGAGGGAAGTGGATTCAAAGGTCCTGCTTCTCACCCTGGGGGGTGGGGTAGGGCTTAGACAGACCCTCAGGTCCACTGACAAAGACCTGCAGCCAAAAGTAGCTCCCTAAAAATAAAATAAAGGCTAATATTAGGCCTTGTTTAGTTCCTTGCTTAAGGTCTTATGGCTTCCCTACCACGAATTTAAAACTCAGTTAATACAATGAAGGCAACCGGCAGCATGGGTAAGAGTGCAGACCCTGGAATCAGAACCAATCTGGGTTTCAGTCCCAGCCTCACTCCCTGCTACTGATATGACTGTGGGCAAATTAACTACTCTGTCTCAGTTTCCTTTCCAGTCAAATGGGGATAATAGGGCCCTCACAGGGGAGCTATGAGAATTTAAGAAAATAATATGTGTTGAGTTACTTTGTAGACATACTACTAGAGGACTCACTAAATGTTAGTTCTTTTTTTTGAGACAGGGTCTCGCTCTGTCATCCAGGCTGGAGTGCAGTGGTGTGATCACAGCTCACTGCAACCTCCACCTCAGCACTTCCTGGGCTCAAGTGATGCTCCCACCTCAGCCTCCCAAGTAGCTGGGACTACGGGTGCATACCACCACACCTGACTAACTTTTTGTATTTTTAGTAGAGATATCTTGCCCAGGCTGGTCTCAAACTCCTAAGCTCAAGCAATCTGCCCACCTTGGCCTCCCAAAGTGCTAAGATTACAGGTGTGTATTAGTCCATTTTCATGCTACTGATAAAGCCATACCCGAGACTGGACAATTTGCAAAAGAAACAGGTTTAATGATTTACAGTTCCACATGGCTGGAGAGGCCTCACACTCATGGCAGAAGGCAAGGAGGAGCAAGTCACATCTTACGTGGATGGCGGCAGGCAAAGAGAGAGATTGGGCAGGGAAATCCCCCTTATAAAACTGTCAGATCTTGTGAAACTTATTCACTATCACAAGAACAGCATGCGAAAGGCCTGCCCCCATGATTCAATTACCTCCCACCGGGTCCCTCCCATAACATGTGGGAATTCAAGATGAGATTTGGGTGGGGACACAGCCAAGCCATGTCAAGGCATGAGCCACCACACCCCGCCACTAAGTGTTAGCTGTTATGATAACTCTGTGCCTTTCCACATGCAATTCCCTCTGCCTGGAATAACTTTCTCCTTTTGTTCACCTGGGGAATTCCTTCACATTCATTATAACTCACGCTCTATGAGGACTTCCCAGCAACTCAATTTGCCAGAAGCAATCAATCTCCTTCATCTGTGCTACTGCGAAGTCACACATATCAAATCTACTTATCATAGTATATTGCACTTGAGTGTTTAAATTTCTGCCCCTCCTCACTATGGACATGACTCATATCTTATTCACTGCTAAATTCCAAGTACTTGGCAGAATACACATTGTAGGGTTTCATACATGTTTGCAATAATGAACTGAATACATCCTTGAATTCACTCTAGAATCAAACTACCTCTCCTCTGTATTAGAAATTTGGCCTAACAGGCCGGGCAAGGTGGCTCACGCCTGTAATCCCAGCACTTTGAGAGGCCGAGGTAGGTGAATCACCTGAGGTCAGGAGTTTGAGACCAGCCTGACCAACATGGTGAAACTCATCTCTACTAAAAATACAAAATTAGCTGGGCATGGTGGCGCATGCCTGTAATCCCAGCTACTTGGGAGGCTGAGGAAGGAGAATCACTTGAACTCAGGAGGCAGAGGTTGCAGTGAGCCGAGATCACACCATACTGCACTCCAGTCTGGGCGACAGAGTGAGACTCCATCTCAAAAATAAAAAAAAAAGAAAGAAAAGAAAAAGAAATTTGGCTTAACAATTATGTCATTCTTTCTATCAAAAGAATTGTCCTAGCAAATTAAATCGATGCATAATTGTCATTGCCGATATTCTAAAAGGCAGTTATCTGAACATGAACATCTATAGAAATGTTCTCTAATGAGACTTTTCTTGTCTAACATTTCTTCACATTCCTTTAAAAATTGTTGGCAGATGCAATTCAGAAGATCTTAAAAATCAGTCAGTAATTGAAAAGTATTGACTTTGTAATAATGAAGTTATTAGAATTTTAAGGAGAGAAAAGAGTTATAAAGAATACTTAGCATGTACATTGAAAGCTTTACTTTATAAGGTCTTTTCATTTGTTTCTCCTAATTGCCTTGTGATAGTGAAAACAGCTGTATTCCTGTTACATGGGAGGTCGCACATGATCAGTTCTAAAGCAGATTCTATATTGTGGCTAACTTTGGTGGCACTTACAGTGGTCACTGAATCCAGACTTCAAAAAAATACATTAATATTATATGTTAGAATTTTCTAAAGGGAAAAGAAAGGTATGTAAGGATCCATCTTTGAGGAGGATGAATATTATCATTCTCCATAAAGAACCTTACGAAAGTTTCTAATGACAGTGACCATAATTAGTCTTAAAAAGTAAAAGACATATTTTAAAAGACAGATTTAAAATACCAGGCATTAAAATAATTAAAATACCTCGATGCAGATGTGATGCATTCCTCCAGCCTTGTTTTTCTGCAGAAAACCTGCAATTGGACTGTCACGTCCCAATGGATGAAGCAGTTCCATCTTGGTATTTCCCAGGTTGACAAAAACAACAGATACTCCATGTTCAGGAAGAGGGACCGCTTCACTTACCTGGGCCCCGAGAATATTCTTATAAAATGCTGCAGCCTTTTCCAAATCTGGCACTGCTATGGCTACATGATTGAGTCGACCCAGGTTCCACAAAGAACCTGCCACTTGATCCAAGGGCTGTGATGTGGAAGAAGCTCTTAATGTTGGAATGGGAGCTTGGAGTCTGGAAAAAAGCCCTGAAAAATTGAACAGCCATTGATATCCTTCTTTTGAGAATTAATACACTTCTAAATTGAATTTAAAAAACTAAACAAATAACACATGCAAAAATTCGTTATTTATATATCTATTCTTTTCAATTATTGAAATGAAACCAGGAGATAAATGGAAAAACTTACACCAGAATTACTCTGCTCTGCCCATTCAAATAACTGACTGGAATAAAAAAGCTAATTCTGAGCTGTAGTTAGATTTAAAACACAGATTAACATTTTTTCATAATGATTCATATTTACCGGTAACACTTAAAGAATAGTGGCATATTAAGAATTATTTGCTATTCTCTCTCTGCATTTCACAATGAAACAACATATTTAATAAGAACAAGCAATTTCTCTACCTGTACCCAATTTTTTGTCTTGTATTTTGTAATAAGTCCATTAAAGGTATAAACATACATTAAAAGAATACATACAGTACTCTTTAATGCTCTGTTGCCCAGCCTGAAGTGCTGGAGTGCAATAGTGTGATCTCAGCTCACTGCAACCTCCGCCTCCTGGGTTCAAGTGATTTGCCGGCCTCAGCCTCCCAAGAACCTGGGATTACAGGTGCCCGCCACAATACCCAGCTAATGTCTGTGTGTGTGTGTGTGTGTGTTTATGTGTGTGTGTGTTATATATATATTTTTTTGAGACGGAGTCTTGCTCTTTTGCCCAGGCTGGAGTGAAGTGGCGCGATCTGGGCTCACTGCAACCTCTGCCTCCTGGGTTCAAGAGATTCTCCTGCCTCAGGCTCCTGAGTAGCTGGAATTACAGGCGCCTACCACATGCCCAGCTAATTTTGTATTTTCGGTAGAGATGGGGTTTCGCCATGTTGGCGAGGCTGGTCTTGAACTCCTGACCTCAGGTGATCCACCTGCCTTGGCCTCCCACAGTGACATGATTAGAGGTGTGAGCCACTGTGCCCACCCTAATTTTTGTATTTTTAGTAGAGACGGGTTTCACCACGTTGGTCAGGCTGGTCTCAAACTCCTGACCTCAGGTGATCCACCCACCTTGGTCTCCCAAAGTGCTGGGATTATAGGCGTGAGCCACCATTCCGGCCAGTTTTTAGCACTTTTAAAATTCACTATCACTGTGTCCTCATCAGATAGTTTCTTGATTTCCACAGACAACTCTGCATTCCATTCATTCAGCAAAGAGTCATTGTATGTCATTAACAACAAGAATGGCCTGAATTTACTGTGCACCTACTGTCTGGCACTGTATTTATTTTTTTACACCAACTGTCTAATATTCACAACAAACCTACAAGTTAGAAACTTAGTAAGTTTCATTGTTACCATGAAATCCAAGTGGATTACAACCCAGTACACATATACATAAATGTACAATTGAAACTAAATTGCAAAAAAAGAATACCTTCCATCTCAGCCTCCTGAGTAGCTGGAACCATAGGCAAGAGCTACCATGTCTGGCTAATTTTTGTATGTTTTGTAGAGAGGGGGTTTCACCATGTTGCCCAGGCTGGTCTTGAACTCCTGGGCTCAAGCGATCCTCCCACCTTGGCCTCCCAAAGTGCTGGGACTACAGATGTGAGCCACCACACTAGGCCAGTGAAAATGCTTTGAAATAGATAAACGTGACAGTTGCACAAACCCAGTGAATGTAATAATTGCTGTTAAACTGTACTGTTTTTTCTTTTTTTGAGACGAAGTCTTGCTCTCTCGCCCAGGCTAGAGTGCACTGGTGTGATCTCAGTTCACTACAACCTCCACCTCCCGGGTTCAAGCGATTCTCTTGCCTCAGCCTCCTGAGTAACTGGGATTACAGGTGCGTGCCACAACACCCGGCTAATTTTTGTATTTTTAGTAGAGATGGGGTTTCCCCATCTTGGTCAGGCGGTCTCAAACTTCTGACCTCGTGATCCACCCACCTTGGCCTCCCAAAGTCCTGGGATTACAGGCATGAGCCACTGCGCCCGGCCTAAACTGTACATTTTTAAAGGGTTTTGTTATGTAAATTTTACCTAAAAAAAAAAAAAAATGGCCCAACAATAAAAATCCAAAGGTGAAATTGTGTAGACCAAGCAAACTGGGTAGAGAACAGTGAATAAAGAGGTTAAAATGAGATGGAGCTTTATATTTAATAAAAATGTGCTCCTGAAAATTTGTTGTGAATTGAATTCTTACTATATTTTCTCTTGCTACAAGTAATTGTAGCAACTTTTTTCCAGCTTGAGGTCCCATGACTAATAGAAATGGTGTATCTTTAAGGTATACAATGTGATGTTTTAACATATGCATAAATTATGAAAATGATTACCAACACAGAAGCTAACTTTTTAAAGCTATTTTTATTTCAGGTTGCCCTCTAATTCGTAGGAATTCACAGCTCTTTAGTTTTAGGTTTCTCTGCCTCCCATTTCAGAATAGTGCAGCAGAACTGCATTATTTTGAATTCTGTAATGTTTAATTTGTGATTTTTCCAATAAAGGTTGCTTTGCATGAATATACTACAATGTAAAACCACGTGCAAATAAATGCGTAAGATATTTAAAAATAGAAGTGTTAATAAAAAATGCGTGTAAAGATGAATACAGATTTAAGAAACTACTTTCACATATGTCAGGAAGCTGGTATACAGGTAAAAGATCAAAATCGGATGTGTATGTTAACTCTCATTCCAATCTTCCTTTCAGTATCAGTTCTTGTTAATCACTTTTAGTGTCCTGACTTAAAAATAACATTGCATTTCTTTCAGTTCAGATTTTGCGCTTATTTCGGATTACACTTTTTAAACACTGTCCTTGCATACATAAAAGTTTAGCTGCAAGGATCTATAGTCAAATGCATTAAGAGTACTTATTATTTAAAGACATTAGATGTTAAATT